CATACATATTGATAACAATTTGAACCAAGTATTGCAAATTTAGATACATCTATAACTCCACAAACTCCCTGTTGCCACAGATTTTCAGTCATTTTTTGTGTAATTTGGCACACCTCAGCCTTTATTTCCCGTTTCCCTTTCTTAAGAATGTTTTTGACACACTCTCTTTTGTTGGAAATGGATTTTTAGGCTTGCCATTTCTTCTTTCATCCTCCATTTTTCCAGGTTCCTCGGATTTATTTTTAATGATGGAGTGCACATTATGCTGAGATATGATATTTGTAAAGGCAAAGTATTTGGTAAACAACTCTTTAGGAATGACTTAAATGACTTTAAAATTCTATTCCATGCCTGTCAGACTGTGTTTTCTTTGGTATTTTTCATAGATGTGAACAAACTAAGCACCTAAAGATACAATTAAATATTCGTTCTTTACTGGTTATTGGTTCTTTGTGTAGTGGGAATGCTGAAAAGCACTCGCATAGGCTGATTTTCTTTCCACCCGATCTCTTCCTGCCCCCATGATGAGTTTTTGGCAGAATTAAAATAAAATTTCTCTCACCTCATCTCTGAGAGCAGCACAGCTAAGAAACTACAAAATATACAGCAGGGGAAGCGTAGTGTTGTGTAGTTTGTGACTGACTTTCGTACACAGCAAACTCCCTGGAAGGCATAATCGGACTAGCCAGAGGCTGGCTAGTCCGATTATGCCTTCCAGGGAGTTTTTCTCCAGACTAGCCAGAGGCTGGCTCCAATTATGCCTTCTAGGGAGTTTTTCTCCAGGCCCTCAATGATCAGGTGAGGGATCATGTAGCCTCCCATCTTTGCAAGCTCCTTTGACTCCCATGATGACCTTTCCTCTTTCAAGGATTTGATCTCTCTCCCCCTTAGGACAGATAATCGCTTGAGAGGCCAGAAAGAACTATAAGTCCCACCGCACTTTCTTCTGTTCATCTCCAATTTCCATCTCCGCACTGCCGCTTCAGCCCACATAGCAGACAGATCTGGTCCGGATCTGGTGTCAAGCCGGCACCGCTGGCTGACTTCTGGCATGGTAACTGGTATGTCATCCAGATATGGGCCAGGCCTGGCGTAGATGGCCCTGTTTATGTGATGGCATGCCATATCTGGCCGGATTGTGGTTTGGTTTATGTGGCCCAGGCTCATAGAAAACAGGTCTGGCCCGGATCCGGCATCAAGCTGGCACTTCTGACTGACTGGTGTCATGGCAGAGTGTATGTCAACCAGATGTGGGCCAGGTCTGGCAATGATTGCAGTATTTATGTTCCTATTTTCCTATTTTAGTTAGAAGACCCAAATGCCATGTTGCAATACTATACTGCTATGGTAGCCAACGTTTCAAATGCAGATTTGACAGGTTTGTGAGTGTACACTTTATCCAAAACCTAGTGAGGGTTTACTCATGTTTACCACTGGGTGGCTGTAGCTCAGGAGGTAGAGCAGGCCACCTACTGATTGGAAGGTTAGTGGTTTGATCCCTGGCTCCTAAAGTCTGTATTTCAGGACTGTGAATGTGTATGAATATAGTTAGGAAGCATTCAGTTTAGAGAAAGTGGGTGAATGTGGCATGTTTTATAGAGCACTTGAGTAATCTGGGAGAGCAGAAAAGCGCTATATAAGAATCAGTCCATTCACTGTCTGAACAGAGCTTCGTCATGTTACTTATTGCACTATTATGTTCCAGTATTATTTGATATATTGTTAATTTTAAATTATATAAATTATTCCATTCAAAATAAATTTGCTGCATTACCTTTGTTGAGACATTTTTAATCTGTGCTAAATACGGCACATGTTGTTATTACATGGCCTGATTAAGGTACACATTAGGCTGACATCTGGGGCCAGAGCTGAAACTGTTCTGGGCCAGCACAGGACCACCAGTGTGGTGGCCTTGCAACTGGCCTTGTGCTGGCCCATGTGTTGGCCACCTCTGGCAAACCAGATCTGAGCCACCAAAGGGCCATCATTCTTTGCGGTATGTGGGCCATGTGTACGCACATTGTATGGGCCCAAACTGAGCCATACTAATTTTGCTGTGGGAGGTGTCAACTTCCGCCCATCCCAATAGGTAGTTTGTGGCTAACTGCAGAAGAGAAATGCTTGTATTGCAGGCCGCCTTCATCGCCTCTTGCCCAGTTCATCCAAAAGGCTCCTCCTGCCATTAAGTTCAGGGATACGGGTGGGCAGATCCCTGACATCTACTAAACCCCAGTTATTGCTACCTGTAACTCCTATCCTAAACCATGTCACTCGGACACTACAGGCTCTTGTAGATTCTAGGGTAGAGCAAAATCTTATACATATTGAACTAGCTAACCAGTTGCGTCTCCCTTTTGTTCCTTTAAATCCCACCAATTCCTGCTACCACTCTAAACAATCAAGGATTTGCAACTATAATCCACCAAACTGAACCTGTCAGTCCAATCATGTCCTGCAACAACCAGGAGACTCTCACGTTCTTTACAGTCACCTCCCAGACATTCCCGTGATCCTCAGCTACCTCTGGCTTCAAAAGCACAACCCTCACATTGACTTGCCTGGTCATAGGATCTGAAGTTGGTGTCCTTTCTGTTTGGCTAACTGCGCTAGTTGCACTCACTTCTGCACTACCCACTGTGACCTGGAACTCCTGTGTTGCTGCCTCTTCCCCAACAAATCTCTCCAGCATTAAATACCATGACCTCCATGAAATATTCAGTTAGGCCAAAGCATTGTCTCTTTCACCGAATCGCCACGGTGATTGTACTATAGAGCCCCTCTATCATCCAGCCGGCTCTGCAATCTGTTTCGACACGAGAGAGAGGCCATGGAAAAATATATCCGAAATCTCTGGCAGCTGGTAACATCCGTCCATCTTCATCTCTGGTATTTGTTAGTTTTTTCTTTAAGTCTAAGAAAGATAGGACTCTCCATATTGATTTCCGGGGGCTGAACGAAATTACAATTAAAAACAAATACCCTCTCTCACTTATTAATCCCACATTTTTGAGCCCATCCATGGTGCCACAGTTTTCACTAAACTTGACTTACGTAATGCTTATCACCTGGTTCACTTCCATGAAGGGAATGAATGGAAGGCAGCCTTCAACACCCTGTTAGGTTATTTCAAGTATTTTGTTATGCCATTCAGTCTCACTAACTCCCCAGCAGTCTTCCTG